TTCACATTCATAATTTGTCAGCAATAAGATCACATTGTCAATTGTTCTCTATTTGGTGAGAAAATATAAGCTAAAACAGACCTAATCTCACTGAGTTATAGCTGTTATAAACTTAGCCGGGTTAAACTTGTCATACGTTGTATGACCCGCCGCGCACGAAGTGCGCGGCTCCCCCTGTAGCGTCGAAGACGCTACAGTGACCGCTATAGTGAAGCGACCGTGGGGGTCACCACGTGATACAAGGTTAAACATGCAGTACATTGCGTTCAGTACTTATAATTAATATAGTGTTGATAGTTATAGTTTATGTTCTTACTCTTATTGGAATGCTGATTATGCTGAGGTTATCATTCACTTAAAACAATATGCTGTAATGTTTTGCGCGTTTCGTTGATTTTTATCGCTGAACCAGATTTTAAAAGACTTTAAACAATCAATCTAGCAGGAGAAGTAGGTGAACTGTAAAGTTTTAAGGTCATTATTGCTAAACAATAGTCGATTAAGGTATTTTCGGGTCATCTTCATTCTAGTTAGTGTAGGGACTACGGGTGGAAGATGAATAATTAAAATTCCAACAGCATCTTCAATCTTGTTGCCTTCATTGTGCTGATTCCGGGAAGCATTTTTGTAACGCTCTCATGGTACTGTAGAATGAGATATCGTTGATTTAAAATTGGGTAATTATAGCAAATGTTGAATAATGGTCACTAGCCGCATCGCAACCAATACGTTGTTTATGTTATGTACGAGTACTTGTAGCATAACGTTACTATTTGTCACCTACAAACAGCTGGACTTGTAGTTGTAGAGTAATGTCTTAGTAATTTTCATAGTAGTGGCTTCTTCATATAACTTACGATCATGATAATCTATTTTTCAAAAAATCTAAAAGTGCAAGTGACCATTTGTCGAAAATTGGGAACAATTATCTTCTGCATGAACGTTTCTTGGAAAATTATCCCCAACTCTATGCTTCGGCAATGGTACTTTTGTGGCTAAAGACATGATTTTCAATGACAATAATTACGGCAAAAAGAAGAGCAAATTGTCGATTACGATTTTTCAAGTCGAGGCTCGGAAAATTATTTCGCTTAGTTTCTCACCTCACTCCTAGAATTGTGCTCTGCAGGAGATAATTTTCTTTGCGCCTGATGTTCAAATTTTTCCACTCAGGAGTCAGGTGGCCTTCAAATTAGTATAAAAAAATAAAACTTGGCCAAGGAATAGGAGTTTTAGAGCCCAAAATTGGTGGTGTCAAAAACGCGAATTAAATAGATAATAATTATTTTAGTCTCTTGAGTCTTGACTATAGGGTTATACGGGTTCCTGCTAGTTTATCTAAAATTGATATATTATATCAATTGGGGTTTATTATGGTTTCTAAAGTTCTAAGATACCGTATCTTACTTTATATAAAGCCATTCATATCATCAACCGCAATGAAGACTTGAAATACTTCTTATAGGAGTCCCGATACAATCCTTGGTAGTCCTTTTCGATATTGGTTGAATATATCCGTATTCGTTGATCTTAAGCAAATATTTGGAAAAATTTCCTTCGTCTTCTGAACTATCATTGACATTAGCTGAGAACTAGAGTCATAATTGTTTATAATTACTGAGATTCGGCAGAGAGACCGGTGCCATCCGATAAGCCGCTCGGGCGCTTTCCTTAGCTTATAAATATAATAACATCTATGACAGCCAAGTGCATTTTAAAGAAATTTTCCCTTGAGTATGATAATCATAACCAGTTTTATCGTGTTCAGCGTCCTCGAAAACATTTACATAGGGTTACATGATTTTCGCTTCGATATTCATTAACAAAAAATCCTTCTATCTTAAAATTTCTGGCCCAGCTGCCTGCTAGGTTTCAAAAGGTGATACCAGATCAAGATGCTGCAATAATTGCGCAGCTCCTATTATAATTGGATCCAATTACACGCGATACACTATACTATTCCATGTAAGGCCTGATCAAGTAGCTTGAGCTCTGGTGACGTAGTCGTATGCCGACTATCCTAGTCGGCATACGACACGTTACGAATGTGATCGCGTGTCCGAGGATTTACGAATCAACGTCACGGATTAAACAGGATTAAACAGGATTAAACATAAAATTACCAGAGAGAACACTAACGGACTCGTCTTGGCTATACAAGAATGATAGGATCAGAGGAAATAATTAACCTACGCGGGTGATGCTAATAGAGGGCTCTCTGCTTTGGGATAGTTTGTTTTGTCATTTGTTTCAAGCGGTGCTTTTTTGCTACTCTGTAGGTTTAGTTTAAGTTTCTTTGTAGGAAATTACAAGACTGGGCACATTGCCTGCGCCTAGTCATATTAGTCTTATTATATGACAGAATGTGTAAGCATAATCAAAATCAATCATTTATCAGCATTGTATGTGACATGGAAGTTTACAAGATTTTCAGTTTAGTGGCAATATTTTTGATTCCTTTAATAAGGGGTAAGTCTTGCTATTTTCAACTATTTGATGTAACTATTTGCTTTTCATCTTTTTCAAAATTTGTATATTCTTTTTTTAAAGATTCTTAGACTTCTTCGTCTCATCAGTAATTTTTTATTGATGCCAGAATATCATTTTGATAACTTTAATATCACTTTATTCAATTGTTTTACAGCATCAGAGAAGCAGTTGACTATCGAAAGATCAGTATCGTTTAACCACCATGCCAACTACGATGCTGCAAAGGCACATGATGGAGACTATCAAACCTGGTACAACGTAAAAGATGGAGCAGTGACTGGGAACTTTCTGAAGTTATATCTCTCACGAGCTTATAGCATCGGAGAAGTTAAGATGATTAGTAGGCAGGATAATCATAAAGCTTTTGCCGAAAGGATGAAGAACACAGAAGTTAGGGTCTACTCTACTAAAAATGTAGAGACCAAAGTGTCGAGTTGCGGAAAAATAAATGGTGATGAATTTTACATTTTTATATTTGTAAAATGTCTCTGAAGTTTAAATATAAGTTAATTGATTACTAAATAAATGATAACGAATCTCTCGCCAAGATCTTTAGCAGATGATTAATGACACAACATAAATTACAGAGGTGAATCCCGGGAACCCACAAACTATAGAAGATCGGACCTACTCTCTGAACTGTGACGGTGTAGTGGGGGACATGCTGTATCTCACTGATCTGAATTATGACGCAGAAGCGGGACACAACATAGCTGAAGTCGAGATATTAGGGTCAGGTAGGTGATATCATGAGATATGATATCGGTGCTGTACCATGTGATGGAATATTGGAATGATTATACATAGTGTAAATATATTCCAATATTCCAAATTTACCTTACTAATACTTATGACTTATAAAATATTTTCAACAGCTCATGATAAGTTTTGTTTAAAAACTTTCTAAATTTTCTTTAAATAATTAAATATAAAATCGTAAATTTTAGTCGCGATGAAATGATTTTAATATTATTCAGAATATTTGTCGATAGAACGATCTGAAGCAAAAAGCTGGTACAAAGACGCCTCATCTAATGAAACTACACGTTATGCTCCTGAGAAAGCTTATGACGGAGATTACATGACCAACTATATGGTTAAGGACGATGATGCTGAAGGAAACTTCTTGAAGCTGTTCCTTCTAGAAAAGTACAGGGTAGGCACAGTGAAGCTGACAAACGTAAAGGAAGGTTGTTGCGAGCAAAGAATACTTGGCACAGTGGTCATGGTGTATTCCATTGACGAGAAGGGAGAAACAAAGGTTGCAGATTGCGGTGAAGAAATAACTGGTAAGCTGACCTATAGTGTATAATATTAATCTAGCAAAGTCATGGCACTACCAGATGAGTACAGATAACAGAATAGGCAGAAGTTTCACTCATAAGATTTATAATTAAAACGATTCGAGTATTAAGCCCTAAATGATATTTTCTTCAACCAGAGTACGACAGCAGTGTAGAATTCCAGACATTCTCTCTAAACTGTAACGGAGCAGCGGGGGACATGATTTACATCACTGATACAGAACTTGATTATGGAGGAAAGCTTGGCCACTCTATATCTGAAGTGTTTGTGATAGAATCTACTCAACCCATACATGGCCGTAAGTTGCGCGAAACTGAAAACCGGTGCTATGGTTTCATTAATATGATATCATAGAACGGCTGCAGAGCAAGCAATCCCAGACTCCGCCTTTAAAACATGGTATTCGCGCAGTTTAGATGTAATTTTACCTAACTAAGATATCAAACGTGGGCAGCCCAATCATATTGATTCGGAGGTCTTGCTGAAGCAAATATGTGTCTCCTCTTCTTGCGGTGTAAAACATCGTCACCATTAATATTGGGCAGTATCGAGATAGCCCGACCACTGTCCGCGGACCACTGTCCGCGGACCACTGTCTGCGGACCATCGTGTCTTGAGGAGTTGGAGGAATGGAGTCCGGGAGTTGATGCTCAGGACAAAGCTTTGTTATCTTTTTTGTAGTAGAATGTAGGATCCCATCGAGGACTGAAGATTCTCGGTGGACATTCATAACAACGCAGTTGTTACATTTGGAGCGGACACGAGGAGCATGAGCAGAGGAGTTAGCAAGACCTCCGGCATCAGAGGGAACCGGTCACTGCGGCGGAAGTCACTGCGGCGGAGGACGGTACGGCGGAGGACGGTACAGCGGAGGACGGTACGGCGGTAGTTTCCAAAAAGGTTGGACGGTACGGCGGATCACATGACACCCACTTTACTTTGGACAGTACGGCGGTACTACAAGAAACTGTACCTAAGACAGAACTTACACATTCAACTTGTGTTGTTCTAGATTCGCATTATTATTATATATTTTTTTCTTAGTTTTTTTCTTCTTTCTTAATTTTTGTTAGTTTAGTTGTTAATTTTTTTTATTCAGGGCTTTGCAGACAATGTAAATCGAGAATATTGAGTTGTTGAAAATCAAAAAGTTAATATAACTAAATCCCACACATCATTATCAAGAAATTACAGCAATCAATAATTCACATAACACTTCTGAGCAGATCCAGATAATTCAAGACATCATCTTCGTAAGCGTGGTAGGTCTGCACGATGCGGTGAATCCTCCTGTCCTTGTCGCTGTGATCTTTCTTCCTCTTCGGTGGGTTCTCTCCGACCAGGTAGGCTGCGTGCTTCCCATCTGTTGAACTCTGCTCCATCTGCAGTGCTGTTATGAAGTTGTAGATGGTGGGGTTAGAGTGTCCAAGGATAGTGGAAAACTTCTTGTTCCAGGATTCCACGAAATTGTTTGTTCTGTTCATGTGGAAATGGGTCCGATCGTAGGCGTTCCAGGAGAGTGGAGGAAACTTAGCTCGTCCAGTACCAGAGGAGGTGGTCAGTCCCTGGATCCATGTCGTCTGGAAGTAGGCGAGGAGGTCGTCTATCTCCAAGGACGGTGGCATCTGGTCCAGGATACTGAAGAAGGCGTCCGGGACGTCCGCTGTAGGAATGTAGGCGAGGATCATCAGTCTGCGTATCCAGATCCGGGTAGGAGTGTAGGTTTTCTGACCAGTAGTGGGGTCCGTCGTAACTCGCTCGTACTGCTCCTTGTAGCCAAGTCGCTGGACAGCCCGCATCACCGCTTGACACAGATGGAAGTAGCAGCCATCAACTTGTGCGGAAGGGAAGGTGGCAGATAAGGCATTCCGGAGAGCTAGCTCGTAGTCCACCATGATGTTGTCTGGAGAGAAGTTGCCAAGACTGTCGAGGGCTTCGAAGGCTTCCTTGTAGATGGGGGTATCCTTGTGGGTGAGGAGGATGTAGATGCAAGGGAAGACCCAGGTAGCGTCCTCGTTGAAGTTGACCATCTCAGCGTGAATGGTGAGGAGTTGGTAGAAGAGCTGAGGAGAAGAGGAGAAGGTCGCGTCCACGTACCAAGAGCTGCTGTCCTCCAGGGCTCGCAGGTTCTTCTCCGTCCCAAAGATGATAACTCGTCGGTCATCGTCTTTGTTATCAAACTGGAGCATAGGTTCGCCAGCTAGAGACATGCAGTCGTCCTCCTCCAGTTCAAGGTCTGCCAGGTTCGTCGGAGCTCTAGGGACAGGGTTCTCCTTCCGGCGGGCTCTCTGAGCTTGCTTCTTCACCGCTTGTTCACTGGGGAGGAGGAAGCGAGCAGTCTGGGACAGCGAGCCAGTAACGGAGCAGTAGATTCTGTGGTTCTGAGTAATCGTAGTCGCAGCCAGATCGTGGACTTGGGGGAGGGTTTCTCGGACTTCGCAGTCAGCTATGTCGGCACTGTGGTTGTGAGGCTGGGTGACTGACACCAGGGATCCGTTGAGGGTGTAGAGTCGTCCCTTGCATCTGTCGTTCTTCTTCACGCACCTCCAAGCCTGTCGTCCATCCAGAGTCGGCTTTCCATCTTTGGAGTAGCGGAAACCACGGTGTAGAAGGTTCTGACTCTTAGCAGTTCTCCCTCTGACCACCTTCACCGTATCTTCATCGAACATCGTTGTAGCTGTTGTAGTGTTGCAGTACTGGAGATGGTAGTGCTAATGAGATACTCTCCTCAACTTTGATCCGCTTTATATACTGTTTGCCTCTATCATTATCTACGTTTCAGTGAGCAACCTCTCTTCTTGGCTACGGTTGATCAGATTCCTGGATGCGATCCCTCGTGACGTGTTCTCATGCCCTTGTTATTACCCATTGCATCTCGGCGCAGTGATATGAGATCTCACCGTAACAAGCTCATCATGCACTTACGCGATCTGATACGAACCAGAAAGTGGAACAAGAACTGTTCTTAGCAATCACAATGTATATGTTAAACTTTATCCAATTTAATTTTAATTAAAATTAATTTCGAAGTAACAAAGAGGAAAATAGAACTTTTTAAAGCTAATCGATTTTGTTATATTAGCAGTGCAGTCTGTCTTATAGGTACAGTTTCTAGTAGTATTACCGCCGTACTGTCCAAAGTAAAGTGGGTGTCATGTGATCCGCCGTACCGTCCAACCTTTTTGGAAACTACCGCCGTACCGTCCTCCGCTGTACCGTCCTCCGCTGTACCGTCCTCCGCTGTACCGTCCTCCGCCGCAGCGTCCTATACCCGCATCAGAAGATGCTACAGGGTCATGAGCAGCGCATGATATACCAGCATGCCTCTTGTTGCAGAAAACGCAGAAGCTTGGGTTGGCTCTGGAGACGATGAGGGTTTTACCAGCTTGAGTCCACTTGTCGAGAGGTGAGATAGGTTTGCAGATAGGGTCGCAGGGTAGGGCTGAGTTCATCCGTTTCGTTTTCTCTGAGACCATAGTTGTAGTTGTTCAAGAAGGAGTTGATGATAGAAATGATTGATGCAGTCTGATAATAGTTATTCTTTATATATTGCATGATGTGAACTGATCTCGTAAGGTTGCTTAATCGTTTAATAAGCCTTGACACCACCGCTGATTGAAATTCGCGTGCGATGATGTGAACCCTGCTTGACTCAGGGGATGATGTGAACCCTGCTTGATTCAGGGGATGATGTGAACCCTGCTTGATTCAGGGGATACTGTTATTATACAGTAATATGATCTGGTAGACAGGTGTCCGCAGACAGTGGTCCGCAGACAGTGGTCGGGCTATCTCGATACTGCCTAATATTGATTTCTATTTTTTAGATTATTTTAGTATTCGTATAAATTTAATAAGACCGGCTGGACTACACTATTGAACTTGGAGTTGTAATCAAATTATGACAATATCCAATTATGGTTATTTGGCTAATCGTATTTTTCTTATGAGATCATTGTCGATATTAATCAACAGTTTACTTCATTTAGATTCTAAGACTTACAAGTTTAATTCAAGTTCAATTCAAGATATGATTATGAAATTCTCTGGATAGAAAAACACAGACCTCGGTAAACCATTTAACTAGTTACTCACCACACTTAGGTGCTCGCCTTACTGAATGGTATTTTGAAGCCTCGTTTGCATTAAAACTTTATTCGAAGATTAGGGATCGTAAAACTGATTACGGAATGGGGGGGGGGGGGGGGGGGGGGGTAAACATTTTTCAAAAAGTGATTACATATAATATATAATAATAATAATGTGAACGATGCAGATTTATTTCTATTACAAATTTATTTCTACAAATTTTTTACCCCGACTGTTACTTGGATTTCTCAAATATCTTCCGGAATTAGTGGGCAATGAAGAGACAATAAAGAGATTACAAGTATTTTCAGAGCAGGGTAACCTTCCAAATATCATTATAGCCGGCTCACCTGGTATTGGTAAAACTACCACTATACTCTGCCTTGCTAGAGCTCTTCTCGGTAAGTTATTTTACTAATAATATTTTACCTTATTTTAAAATTAAAACTGGGCCGTAAAAATGGAAATTTAAAGTGAATTTGCTACAACTTTGGTTATAAGAACTATTGCAGGGCCGGCAATGAAAAAAGGTGTTTTGGAACTGAACGCATCCAATGAGAGAGGGATTGATGTAGTGAGGAACCGGATTAAAATGTTCGCTCAGAAGAAAGTTACACTCCCACCAGGTCAGGTTCTTTCTTAGTCTCAATTATACTAGCGAAATCGTTTGGATACCCTCTCCCCCTCGGCTGATTACGTAATATTGTGAACGACCCCTAAACTGTTCTTATCTGCAGGTCGTCACAAGATAGTGATTCTAGACAAGGCAGATTCCATGACATCTGCAGCCCAGGAAGCCCTCCGAAGAACTATGGAAATATACTCCAAAACTACTCGGTTTGCGCTGGCGTGCAATAGTTCTGATAAAATTATAGAACCCATACAGTCGAGATGTACAATGCTCAGGTAGTAATAATATAATGCATAACCACTGATTGTGCACATATTAGATTTACTAATTATTGCTATTACTAGAAGAATATAACAACTGAAAATACTAAACCTACAATGCATAGCTTTTTTGAGATGAGAATTATTTTAAAACCGAAATTTTTATAATTATCGCTAATAATAATAGTAATTGCTTTTGACAGATACTCGAGAATAACAGACGCTCAAGTGCTAAGGAGGTTGCTGGATATCTGTGAAGCTGGAAGTGTGGTTAAGACAGATTACGGTTTAGAAGCAGTCATCTTCACCGCTCAGGGTGACATGAGACAGGCCATAAATATAAAATAACCTACAGTCCACACATCAGGTTACAGGTTACTTGTATTGTCACTCACAATATTCAATATTGAATCATGACGTCATCACACGCCAGCATACGTCACCATACGTCGTGTATGCTGTGGGAATATTTATAATTTCGTAATGAATCTTACTTGCAGGGTTACGGGATAGTTAACAGTGCAAATGTTTTCAAAGTTTGTGACGAACCTCATCCCCTTCTTGTAAAAGATATGATCAAACACTGCACTTCGGAAGATATAGACGAGGCTTATAAAATACTTCACTCTTTGTGGAAGCTTGTCGTACGTTGTATATATGACCCGCAGCGCACGAGTGCGCGGCTCCCCCTGTATCGTAGAAACTCTACTATAGTGAGGCGACAGTGGGGGTCACCACGCGATACAAGTGGAAGTTGGGTTATTCTCCTGAAGATATTATTAATAACGTTAGAAATGTAGGTCTGCTGTTAAAATTATAAATCTTCGCTGCTGTTGGAAATTGTTTACAAAACTATATTATGTATTATACTGCGTTCGTTTTTGAAAATGTAATTTAAAATGAATGTTTGCCTGGCAGGTGTGCCAGACATTTGACATGCCGGAGTACAAGAAGCTGCTCTTCCTCAAGGAAATAGGTTACACCCACCTCCGGATCACACAAGGAGTCAACTCCCTCCTCCAACTCAGTGGCATGCTCGCTAGACTCTGTCGCGTCAGCGCCGCTAAGAGCATGACCCAATAACTGGTTGGCAGTTGCGACGCGCGCTGCAAGTTTATCACACATGAAAATTGGACCTTTTTAAAGTGCAAATTCTACTTTTTACTTTTTATTTATAATTTCCAATTTCATTTTTTTAATTTTAACACAATTTTCGCAATAAATGATCATTAATCATTAATGAATTGTGGCCTGGACTGTTTCTTTGTTTTTGTGCTTATACTTTGACGGATGTTACTCGTCTAAATTTCTTCGAAGTAGCGCGCGCCGCTTTTTTGTTTCTTCTCGTGCCCGACGGCACGAGCTACGAAGTAGCGCGCGCCGGGCCAGATCATTAACAATGGTCAACTTATACTTACTTAACCATTAATAGATGGTACATATATTTAAGTATTTGTTTTTATGAGAAATACTCGGTTCTGCGATGATGGATGAATAATTTGTGTTTATAGAGATCTGCGGCGCGTTATCAGGTTAACCAATGAAATCACGGCGTTTTCGTCACGTGACAGTCGAGTGTAGAGTGATTAATTATCATCCAAATCCGAGCAAGTTTATTTTTATCGTGCACCCCGGCCCTTAGTAATCAACCCCTGATCTCCTGACAGCAATATAATATTATTGATTACGTAATCATGGCCTGACCCCGGGCCGGCCGGGTCATCTTAATTTTAGTTAGTGGTGATCGGAGAACCAACAGCTGGATTCTAATCGGAGAGCCAGTAACTTTATTTAGGGAATCCAGATACCGTGGACTTAGGACTAAGCACCTATGTCAAACTTCTAATCAAAACAAATATATGCCTCAGAACGTTCGGCGGAGCTTCTGCTTACAGTTACTGGGTAGCGCTCAGCCTGTCATTCCGCTGAATCTCTATGACTCTATAACTATTGTTTATGATCAATATGAACATGATAGCCTGAGGTCCCCAGGTAACTGTAAGGCAGAGCTAGCAGCTTGATATCGTTGTGTATGACCTTAATATTATGTATTTAATTGTATTTGTGAGCCAATATATAGCTGCCATATAGCCTGACTGACAATTTTCTCGACTGACTGACATGACAATGTTTCTTCTTTTCCCCATTTAGAATACAAAGATTAGTACATTTTAGCTTATGATTAATATTATATTTTTACCTATAGTTTACCTAGATTGTACTAATTTTAATCTGTTAACCTCGTTTAATATCAATTAATTTGTAATAATCGTCTTTCAAGAAGAGGCCTTTAAAAACAATGTAGTTCTGACTGAGAGTCCGCCACCAGGAAAGCTACCAGCTAAGTAGGAGACCGTTACTATGGCAACTAACACGTGGCTGTCTCAGTTCACGTGTAACACCAGCCAGATAATCCCACAGGAGCTGCAACCTGGCAGAGAGCCAATAAGGGACACCATCACAGATAAGGCACATGGGACTCAATATTTGAATATCAGATGCAGCTAGCCAATGAGGGTCAGTCTGTCGGAGAATGATCTGAGTCCTGAGACTAAACTAATTAAAAACAGCAATTATAGAGTTGCAAATATAATTATATGTATATTTTTAGAATTCCACCTGGAAAGTGACCAGCGGTGTCCTATTAATTAAAGGGGCGTGCGCGTAGTTGCTCGTAGTCGTTATATAAGGAAATAATTAACCTACGGCTACGCGGGTGCGGTGATAATTATAGAGGGCTCTCACTGAGACTGAGAGCCTCTCAGTCTCTGCTTTGGGATACAGATAGTTTGTTTTGTCATTTGTTTCAAGCGGTACGTTTTTGCTGCTCTGTAGGTTTAGTAATAGTTTAAGTTTTTTATAATATAGGAAATTACAAGACTGGGCACATTGTCAGCGCCTAGTCATATTAGTCGTATTATATGACAGAATGTGTAAGAATAATCAAAATCAATCATTTATCAGCATTGTATGTGATTGTGACATAATGGAGGTTTACAAGATTTTCAGTTTGGTGGCAATATTTTTGATTCCTTTAATAAGGGGTAAGTCTTGCTATTTTCAACTATTTGATGTAACTATTTGCTTTTCATCTTTTTCAAAATTTTTATATTTAAAAAAAAAAGATTCTTAGACTTCTTCGTCTCATCAGTATTTTCTATTGATGCTGGAATAACATTTTGCTAACTTTAATATTAATTTATTCAATTGTTTTGCAGCATCAGAGGAGCAGTTGACTATCGAAAGATCAGTATCGTTTAACCACCATGCCAACTACATCGCTGCAAAGGCACATGATGGAGACTATCAAACCTGGTACAGCGTAAAAGATGGAGCAGTGGCTGGGAACTTTCTGAAATTATATCTTTCACGAGCTTATAGCATCGGAGAAGTTAAGATGATTAGTAGGCAGTATAAAGCTTTTGCCGAAAGGATGAAGAACACAGAAGTTAGGGTCTACTCTACTAAAAATGTAGAGACCGAAGTGTCGAGTTGCGGAAAAATAACTGGTGATGAATTTTACATTGTTCTATTTGTAAAATGTCTCTTAAGTTTAAATATTAGTCTATTGATTACTTAATAATTGATAACGAAACTCTCACCAAGATCTTTAGTAGATGATTAATAACACAACATAAATTACAGAGAATAATCCCGGGAACCCACGGACTATAGAGGATCGGACCTACTCTCTGAACTGTGACGGTGTAGTGGGGGACATGCTGTATCTCACTGATCTGGATTATGATGCAGAATGGGGACACAACATTGCTGAAGTCGAGATATTAGGGTCAGGTAGGTGATATCATGAGATATGATATCGGTGCTGTACCATGTGATGGAATATAGGAATGATTATACATAGTGTAAATATTCCAATATTCTAATATCTTACTTATAAGGCGTTTACAACCGCTTCATGATAAGTTGTGTTAAAAAAACTAAACTTTCTGAATTTTTGTTAAATAATTAAATATAAAATCGTACATTTTGGTCGCGATGAAATAATTTTAATATTATTCAGAATATTTGTCGATAGAACGATCTGAAGGCAAAAAGCGGTTACAAAGGACGCTCATCTAATGAAGTTACAAGTCATGCTCCTGAGAAAGCTTATGACGGGGATTACATGACCACTTATAACGTGAAGGACGGTCATGCTGAAGGAAACTTCTTGAAGGTGTTCCTGTCACAAAAGTACAGAATAGGCACAGTGAAGCTGACAAACGTAAAGGAAGGTTGCTGTGAGAATAGATACTTGGCACAGTGGTCATGGTTGTACTCAATGAGAGGGGAGGAAGAAACGTAAGTTGAAGATTGCGGAAAGAAATAACTAGTAAGTTAATTGACTTATAGAGTATAATATTAATCTAGCAAAGTCATGGCAGTACCAGATGAGTACAGATGACAGAAGTTTCACTCATAAGATTTATAATTAAAAAGATTTTGAGTATTAATGAAATTTTCTCGACACGATTACGACACGCAGATGTAGAATTCCAGACATTCTCTCTTAACTGTTACGAGCAAGCGGGGGGACATGATCTACATCACTGTACAGAACTTGATTATGGAGGAAAACGCTAGGCATCTTATATATGAAGTGTTTGTGATAGAATCTACTCAACCCATACATGAACGTAAGTTGCGCGAAATGAAAAACCCGGTGCTATGGTTTCATAAATGATATATAGAACGGCTGCAGAGCAAGCATCCAGATCCGCCTTTTAAAAAAGGTTATTCGACGGCAGTTTATGATGTAATTTTACTTAACTTAGTAATCAACGTGGGAACAACGTGGGAAACAAAGTGGGGAAGCCTAATCATGTTGCTTCGAGTCTTGCTGAAGCAAATATGTGTCTCCTCTTCTTGCTGTGTTAAAGTTAAACATCGTCACTATTATTGTAATCATAATTTTTGATTTCTTTTTTTAGATTATTTTGATATTCAATAATACTTTTAAGTAAATTTGAAATCGTATAATATTAATAAGACCGGCTGGACCACAAGGACTGCACTATTATACTTGAAGTTGTAATCAAATTTGGACAATATCCAATTATGGTTATTTGGCTAATCGTATTCTGCTTATGATATCATTGTCGATATTAATCAACAGTTTATTTTATTTAGATTCTAAGACTAGACTGACAAGTTTAATTCAAGTCTGAAGTTTGGCAAGAGGACCTTGGGCAGCTGGCAAAGAAAACACTTTAGTTTATAATGTGGTGAGGATTTTGAATTGAGGTTTTCCAGAACCTCAATTGTGTCACACGGCACCTATAATAGTTAACTTGCGGGTGAGAAATTCAGCCAAAACCAACATATGATGCACCTAGCACAAGTATTACAAACGACCTACTGTCAGATTTGAAATGATTATTTGAAAATCGATTTAAATTTAAATTTTATGTTGATCCTAGACGAATAATCAAAATATCTTATATTTCAGGTTTTTAATAGAAAACTCAAATCATCCTTTGACAAAGCATTTACAATATGTACAATGTACATACAATCGACAGAAAGTATCCCTCTACACTGTACAGGACGTTCTTTAAATGTAAGTAAATTTCTGGAATATATAAAACTTATAAAACATTTCCGGTAGCAGTAAGCATGGAAATCACAATCCCTGTATTCAAGATATCAAATCCGTGAAACCATAATTTATTTGCGACTCACGAAAGATAAATATAGTCACACTATCATCCTCGTAACCAGTAATGTCATCATTTTATCACGCCAAGTTTAAGAATATTTGTATAATTACCCATTATAAAGTCTGAATGTATAATTTGAATCTATAATTTGTGAGGTCTAAAGCCCAGCCGGACCCCTTTACTTTTAGTCTGTTTTACAAGAACTCTGTCAGGGTTTGGGGCGACAGCGAGGGAAGGTGAGAGGACCCCTAAGTTAAACTGGCTCACGCCACTTGGCCGCTTTGAGGAATTTGCGGTCTTTCGGGGTCTCTGAGGAAGAAGGGGTGAAACTAAAAGTTTAGTTAGTGCTTACTACTAGTAACTAGTCACTAGTTACTAGTTACTACTAGTAACTACTAGTAACTTACTACTAGTAGTACTATGTAGAGAAATTTAACTAGTGTTCACTGCTACTAATCTTTCACAAAATAACGAAATAATTCAAATATTTTCAACTCGAAATGAAACACAGGATGATTCAAAAATAATGTTTGAATTTTAAGAAATGTTTAACAAATTTATGAAGGGGCAAATTTTGAAATATGAGTAGCATCAATTCATATTAACGTTATGAACTTCATTCTGACTTCTCAATTGATCCTGACTCATAATTTGGTTGATTTACCGTTACGGTATCCTTCCAAAAAGTTTGAACATCTTGGAGTTGGACCTGATTTTTGACGATTTTTAGATAATTTTCATATATTTTTATGACCCAAATATGCAGAAATGGAGTGATTTTTCACTTTATCTTAGAAATTGTGGCAATACTAAATTAAATGAAATGAAATGAAAACATTATTTTTGAATCACCCTCTATTGCTTGAAACATGCTCCACAACTTTGAGTTACTAGATATTACGTATTTTTATTACCAATATCAAATACTATTACTAACTAGTAACTACGGATTACGGAACGATAAATATGATTGTATTACAATTACAAGACACACTATACGCTACTGTACACAATCACAAAACTTATATTCTAACTTACCGTTGAAACTTTAACAGAATCCCAACTTATACTACAAAATTAGAATAATTTATGTTAAAGAACTATTTCGATACGTAAAATCAATCTTAAACTATCACTTGATCCTGAAATATAAAATCACAAAAGTATTTCTGAGAACTGAGAATTCTGACTGACCTCGTTTGTTTGAGTCGCTTCTGACCCTCCGGAGGGCTAGTTGAAGAAGAGTGCAGATCACTCCCTTTGCGCGTGTTCCCTCTGGTGAGAGCCGCTAAGGATCTGTGTCTTTTAGGCTGATCCTTGTTGCTAGGTGGCGGTTGCGTAGTAACATCACCATTACGCTTCACTATCTCGTTACCACGTGCTAGGTGATTTGGAGACACGTGATCTGAGCCGCGCGGCACGTTGTCTTCAACTCGGAGGTGGCCCTCCGTCCGAGTAAGCAGAGAGCCGACCATCTTATATTGAGTTTTAGGAACTGAGTGACCTGGGGACACTAAGTAATTAATATAGCAGTCTTCATTTTGCCGTCGAAAACTTAACATTTCCGTTATGAATATGATTCATGACATCTAATAAGTAATAATGCCAGCTATCAATTTATCAGATATATAGCTCAACTTATATCACATTTTCATTCAATATCAAGTACAGATCTAGCCCAGAAAAATGGTAATTTGCGAACAAAGAAAAGACGAAAGTAAGTATAGCCACTTTTGAGAATCAAGCGCAAAACTCACGTTTCTTAGTAAGGATTTTGTCGACGTATGACGAAGTAAAGTTAGCGACGGGCTGAGTCCTGAGGTCTCCCGCATCTGCTGGGATATTGTGTGCAGAACGAAAACTAACTAGCCTCGTCATTGACAGATCCGGTTTATCTTGAGATGCTATTACTCGTTACTCTCAGTAACTCAAGATTAATTGTTGCAACTTAAATTTAAGTTTTAAATTTCACACATTTGTGGAGGGAGGGGGAGGAGGTTTTGGAGGGAGGGGAGGGGAGGGGGTGTGGAGGCAGGGGGAGTGAGGGTAGGCTAGACGGAGAGGGGTGTGGAGGGAAGGTGTGGACTGTGGAGGGAGGGGTTGCTATGTAACTTACCAGGTGAAGGGGCACTAGACTCCCCATTAGTAGCGGTACTAGCTTTAGTCGGGTTCCATGACTGGACTGGTTTCACACGATGTAAGTTGTGATACAGGTTAGTTGGGGGTCGGCCCTTCCCGAATACTGGTGAGGATACACCTATTGGGTGGCTTGAGGCTCGAGGTTTCTCTCGAGGTTCTCGTAGCTGATCTTCTCCTGCCATCACTTCGCTTCTAGAGGAGGGCAGCATCTGAAAACATCACAAGTTAGGGCGCTAACTAAACATTCACACTTTGTATCACCTGCAATGCCTAACCTAGATATTGTACATTTAATAGTCATCTAAATATATCGTTTCGGAAACTACAAGTAAACAAGTTGTAACCTGTAAAAGGAAAAGTTGTAACCTGTTTAGTACGCTACAAGAAAACAAGTTGTAACCTGTTTAGTGCGGTGAGATCTGTGCGCTGATTTTGAGGGTCTAATAGCGAAAGTGTTTCTCCCAAGTTGTTTACTGTTCACGTCTGTAGTCCTGTAGCTCACGGAGTAAGGGTTCCTCACTCCATCCTCCCTAGGGGGGTCAGCTGCAGGGTTCTCCTCTCCAATAATCAAATCATGTCTGTACGCGCTCCCCACTCCAGCTAACACAACTGACACGTGTACTCCGTCCTGTCAGAGAGGACTAAATTTAAACTAATTCTACTGGCAAATAGTTCAATAGTGTACAAGTGTACAGAACCCCCCCCCCCCCCCACCTCCAGTGAACCAGACATTCCAACTAAGTACTTATTATTGGTGGGACAGCAAATTTTTTTTTGGAAAACAAATAGAATAATATATAACAATATAATTTACAACAATGTATATCGACCAGATTTGAATCATCAATTAATTGAGTTCATAGGACTCATAATTAGCTAAGCTTTGATACAAAGCATGCGAACTTAAAGTCGCTTTCACAACTTTTGTCGACTGAATTGACAGAAGATCTGGTTCCTCTTATACACAGGAGAACCAGCTTCCTGATAATAAATGATAATTTACATCTTATCAGCAAATATAAACCCAGGAGCTCCTTCACAAACCTTGTCAGGGTGAGGAGGAGAGGTGTCAGCTCCTGGCTCTGCAGTAGGCTCTAACACAGCGTATACTACATCACTTTCCTTAGTGCTTTGAGGGTCATAGAATCTTGGTTGGAAATTGGAATAATGTGAGTATGGTTTGAGTGAACAGATGAAATATTGAAATGTCTCAGGCTATATAAGGTTTCACTTACCCCGCGCAGTTTTGTGAGGCGGGTAAAGGCCGAATAACAGGAGGCTTGTTGTGGTGGTTTGAGGATATGAGGTATACGGAGATAAAATTAATCTGTGTTTGTGACACTTCAGTATGTTTTTAACAGTAAGGTAGAAATGAGAGCTTGAGGAATGATGGTAAATTTAAAAATTGATACTTTAAAAACTCACTCACCTGAACGCAACTTTAGCAGGTTCTAGGGATCGTCTACTGTCGTTAGGTGAGTTGCTGACTCGCTGACATACTGGGGAAGAGGAATCTGATGCACCGTTAGTAAACAGACAGGTAAACAGTTACCTAGTTACCTGTCACCTAGTTACCGGTTACCTAGTTACTTAGTTACCTGTCACCTAGTAACCTGTCACCTAGTTACCTGTCACCTAGTTACTTGTCACCTATTTACCTGTCACCTAGTTACCTGTCACCTAGTTACTTGTCACCTAGTTACCTGTCACCTAGTTACTTGTCACCTAGTTACTTGTCACCTAGTTACTTGTCACCTAGTTACTTGTCACCTAGTTACTTGTCACCTAGTTACTTGTCACTTGGTTACCATAGTTACCTCTCGAAGAAGGAGGATGGAAGATGCCACCAGTCAGGATGGAGTAGTCAGGATTACAGCCGGGATCCTGGGGAAGAGTGGGTTCGTCATCATCCTGAAATGTACACTAACCCATCAACAACCGGTACTTTACATAAATAAACAAATTTCCGTGATTCGTCCATGTGTGTTAATCAATTTGAAGGTCACGTACAATTTGGAGGTCACGTACAATTTGGAGGTCACGCACAACAATTAATCATGTTCTTAATAACAGAAGACCGGCACCAACACGTATTGTTGCTAATATTAATGGTACCATTACATTATATTACCAATATTAATCGATCATGCAGCACAGCAGAGTTAAATGCTAAAATCACGTGCAATACAATCAACCATTGCATAATTATGCCCCCAATTAACGACACGTAAAAGACTCGTTGCTGTGACTGATACTCCCTGAATGCTGTGTGATTAGCGGCTGTTAAATGCTCCATCATTCAAGCTGGATAGTTTCAATGCGTACTTGACCAGCAGTGCTTCCGTGCTTGCCTGGTCGGTGCTTTGAAAGCATGTTCGGCGTTCAGTGCATGTTTATTTAGTTTTAAGCGATATGTGTCTTATTGGCCAATACTTAGAGCTTACAAGAGCAGCAAAATATCTGATAATGAATTGAAAAGTCAGCTGGCTCAGTCGATATAAACAGTTCATATCACTTAGGTCTTAGAGCATAGCCGCTTATAGCTTTAGAGCATAGCCGTTCAACGGACAATTAATCAATCTTTCAAAATCATATTTTTGCAGCCAAGTTGTTACAGTGATTGGTTGACAGAACTCATTTGATTTGATAAAGTAACAGTATAACAGCGTTACAGTAGGTATTAGCTTTACAGTAGGGCATGCTTAACTCACTGGCCACACAAAACTACAAGGAACTAGAGGAACTCCAACTGGACGCTGGGACGGCTGGGTACAGACTAGTTTAGTTACTATCTTATAGTAAACTAGTTCTAATACAGTGAAAAAACAAACCCCGGACAGCTATTTATTTGAATCTTTTCTTTAATAGCATAATGACAAATTTGACTATTATCTGACCAACTAAACTTTGAAATACTGCTCATTTTGTACCGTGGAACTGATCCTGAGAATGAAGTTTCACTGTATGTATGCTGGTTTCAATACAACTAAAAACGGTTACTAGGTAACCATTTTATATTGAGGTCACGTGATATCAGTAACCCAATCATTAGTTACCGGGACTCTTGGATCAAGTTATACAAATGTGTTCTAAAAGTAGCCCAAATCGTAAAAATAATACAATAAAGGTTAAATATCTTAGAAAAAAAATCAAACGTAACTGCTTGTTTACATCCCTATCAAAAATAGAAACAGAAAATATAGAATTTGTTTTTTAAAAGACAATTTTGATTTTTTCGACAAGAATTTAAGAATCTGCCATGCATTCCATGCAACCACACCTGTAACGACCGTCGTTCTATTTTTGGTAATTTTACCAAAAATCGTCTGCGTTTCTAGAATGAAATGGGGTTATCATTAAAAAATGATATGCCCTGAATCAATGAAGTCAAACTATAATATAAAGAGTATAAAATTTTTGCGTTTCTTCAAAAGTCGTTAATTTTCAATACTTCTAGTCTTCGGTCATGTGATAACTTGTTTTAAAGTCAATCAAAACAGAGACGATTTGGAGTCCGACAAAGAGTTTTCGAGATTATGGAACAGAGTTTCTGAGTGTTGAGAACTTGGGGACTAACAGCGAGATATCAATGAGATATTCTAAGATGAGGGGTAACTTTTAGAGTACTGAAGGTTAGACCCAGAGTAGGGATATGATAGTAGTAGTTAATGTTTTGTATCTGTCTGCTAGACAAAGGAGCCGGAATGTTCACATTTCTAGTTGGATTAGCCGGGGTAGAGAGTTGAGAGGGAGGGGGCGGTGGTGGCGGTGGCGGAGGATGGCGGGGCGTGCGTCTGACCCAAGTGGGGGCTCGTCTCTGAGGGATAATGGCGCCGACAGGGGGCGTGTGTTCTGTTCTGTCTTCAGAGAGGAGGTAGTTGGGAGGAGGGGCTGTCTCCCCAACGTTAGGATACACTTGTGTCGGGCCCTGCGGGACTGGTGGGTCAGATCTACTGATAGTGAGTGAGAGAGCGGTACAGGGCCGCCGCCGCCACGTGGACTACTGGATCCTGCCGCCGCCGCCACCACCGCCCTGTAACGCTCTCTATGTGTGGAGGCGGGAGAGCTTGCTGCTGGAGTACCGGGCACTACTTTATCATACATTGTGCTGTGTCTCGGTAGAATTCAGAAAATTATACAGGAATGGAGGTAAGGAAGAATGCACAGTTTAAGGTCGAACCTTCAAGATTACTACCACGATGCTTCAGGGAACGTTATACCATATAACCGTTATACTGATAGAATACTGCTGCCAATAAAGAAAAACATTGAGTTTCATGAAGCTTTGAAGTACACTTATCAAGAAGAACAGTCTCATAGACAGCTGTCTATGTAGTATTTAGTGATACTTTAATGAAATAGTTAACAAAAATGTGCATCATCTCCGTTCAGAGGACCAATTTAAACTTGTCTTCTGGCCATCCTCAGCTTGGAGAAGGCAGATGCCAACTTCGAACCAGTTAACAATAGAACTACTCTAATAACCATAAAATACCGGAGATAACAATTGTAAAGTGTAAGTTTACCTTGTTGACTTTAGCTTGGCGCTCCTCGATGCGCTCTTGAGCGTGTTTTGGTATACCGTGAGCTTGTTTGGCGAGGGTGGAGGGGGATTCAGCGGAACTAACACTACATCGTCTCTCCAACTGAGAGGGCAGTCACATTTACTAACTGCTTAAATTATTGGTTTCGTGGATATAAGATTTATATTTCATTCAGTTGAAAGCTATCTATTTACTGCTAAACTTCAAGAGGATGAACCCTAACTATGTTCGACCGATGGAACGATCCTGGCTGGTCAAAGAAAATCCTTTTTAAGCCACTAAGGGTTGGGGTTTCCTTATAAGATTATATTTAGGCGGGTCTGGGGGAGCTGGGGATAATAATTTCGGCTGGGAAAAGGGCTGAAATAGTGGTCGAACATTGAACATGGCAAATCTCCAAAGACCCAGCCCGAGAACGGACCAACAAACCTTGGGTTTTGCAGGTTTTTCTTCCTTATTAGTAGAACTCTCTCCCCCAACGGAGTGAGCTTTTGACTTCTGAAACGAAGAGGAGTTTACGATAACGTTTTGTAGCCCAACACAGCAGACGAAAAGAAATTATCGAACGAGCAAAATATTTATATTCTCAGAAACTTTCTGGTTCCCAAGAATCATTTGATCTTGATAAAAGTACAGGCAAAGGATCTCAGCGAACTGATTAAACAGTGAAGCAGCTATAAAAAGGAACATACAGCGGGTTCGGATGTTTGTTTGGAATTCCGCCTCTTGCTTTGCCTGTGGATCTGGTTCCTTTCTTTTCTCGTTTTGTATTTCTTTTTAGACTGCAATGAGGCACATTTCTGTGTGTAGGTCAGCGCACTGAACTTGAATCAACATTTTAATATTTGATATTCAGCGCACTGAACTTTAGCCAAAATTTTAATATTCGGGCGCGGTGTTCTAATTATGAAGAATCTTACCATCCCTGATTCCCTGGCCTACAGCTAATGTTAGCTTTATCGGCAGCGACTTATTTGAAATTTCAATACTAATAGATTAAGGATTCATTTTTAATCCTTGCAGATTCAGCTTTACTGGTCTGCAGTAGACAAGGAATGAAGATTTTATTTGCAATCTGCTCACAGCAGATGTGGATTAAATCGTTGCCGATGTTACACTTAATACATAAAATGCAGCAGATAAAAATAATCTGTAAGAATATCACAGTGGCACGTAAAAGAAGGTGACAAACAGGACTGTGCGGTACCTTCCGGAGCAGAGGTAGCTTAGGGGGACCGTCAGAAACAGAGCTATCACTGCCTCCATCACTGCTCTCCAGGTCTGATATATCCAGATCTTCGAGGGGAAGGTCCTTGAGATCCTCGATACTTTTCCCGATTTTAGCGGCATATTGTGACATTACTATGCGCGTTAAGTTAGCGAGCACGTGCTCGACCTGCAGGAGTTTTAAGTTTTACATAAATAAAACAAAACGGTTAAACAGTGCAGATTAGTGCGAACAGTAAACAGTGTTACTTCAGGACACAACAATATGCAGATTAGTGCGGGAAGTGTTACTTCAGGACACAACAATATGCAGATTACTTCACCACGACCACTGTGCTGCTATAAAAACGTCCGCTCGTACATTTTGAATATAAAGATACGTGTAGGGTCAAGACAAATAACATTTAAAATCAAAGCACGTCGATGGCGCCAATAGATCGTGGTAACGGTCAATCGCTAGAAGTTTCCAACGTGCTGAGATCTGGGATCTAATATTACCAGAAGGTGATTCAATTATTCAATGCATTTATTAACTGCATTATATTTTATCGTTAAAACTGACCTTGCTGGTATCAGGGTCACAGTAATCTAAGAGTGTATCACAGAAGTGATATCCCATATCCTCCAGGTCACGACTGTTGAAGTGCACGTTATTGTACCCCGCGAAGGTTGCCTCCATTGTAAAGGAGTTGAGTATTCCCATCTGTTGCCACATAACTATTCTACCTGTTCCTTCTTTCTTCTTCTGCACTTTAAACCTGAGATGAACATGGCTTCAAATTTACCTAAAGCTAAAGGCATTATAAATGACACTTCTCTTTTAGTAAAGGTCTCATTTCGTCTAAAAATAGTATATCTAATGATAAAAGTCATGCAGACTAAAAAGAGTATGTTCTACTTCTAGTTACCTGCAGCTGGAGTATTTGAACTTGCTGGTGTTTCTTGACATCATGTTAGGGAACACTCTCTCCTGAAGACGAAGCCCTGGGTCCTTGTTCTCGCAGCCGTACATAAACACGTTCATTTTGCGACTGTGTCCGTGCAGATCACAGTAGAGCACTACCTCTCGCTCTGTTAACATTCTGAGGACGGGAGGGCGGGTTAGGAATATGCTGCGTTAATGTAGTAGAAATTAAAGTCAACACTTCTTATTCTTTAGAAATTTGAGAATTGTAGAGGTCGATGAAAGATATTAGTATTAAAAGAGATACTCTATTCTACCTTCTAATCATCGCCTTGACGCTCCAGATACTGGGATACGCATCTTTAATTGGATTCTTATAATTTCTATTGAGATCTCTAGCAGCTAAGGAGCTCCTATAGTTACCCACTATCACGCCATCTGGGTTCAACATTGGTACTATTTTAAACACGAAGTTATCTCTTAGAACTTTAGCATCTGGCGAGGAACCTGTAAAATACTAATTATAATTATCAGTACCTAGTACATACTTTTAATTAAGTTGTGTACATATTATGTGCATTCAGTGGAGACAAATTAAAATACAATCAAAATCAGGAATACGTTATAAAACAAAAATTAAGTAGCCCAAATAAAATGATCAATAAGAAGTAAACAAAAAAACCTGTGATAAAGTTGATGAAGCCCCTCATCATATAACTGCTGTTAGTCTCGCCGGGGTGGACCCTGGCGGTCACCACCACAGCTCTCTTCTGTTTAGCCTCTGTGAGGTGTGTGGAGGGGGTGGTAACTGTGAGGAGGTGGACCATGTTCCCACCCAGGGAGTGGCAAAGGATACGCTGCTTCACGTACTGCGACTTAACTGCGTCGTTAGCTATTTCTAATAGATCTTTCTGAGAAGGGGAACATGATTATGAAATTGCAAGATTTGCATGATTGATCGGAATTAGTATTTTGTTCGAGAATTGATTCTGGAATAACAAATGTTTTTAACTTTTTTTTTCAAATGCAACTTGTAGAATAACAAGAATTTTCTCTAAATATCACACAAAAACAAATTATAAAAAACAGTGTTTAAGAAACAGAACTAAAACATATAGCGCTTGTTGAACGAGCTATGAATATGGTTAGCGTAGCTATGATTTACTGGAATATGATTGGTGATCACAAAACTGGTTATCTGAGTAAAAGTACCTGAAGGTCAGTGTAGCTGTAAGGATAACAATGTGAGAAATAACACACATCTGAAGTGTATGGGAACTGGAACTGCCAGGTAAGGGAGTACTGATACCTCTCCCCTTTACAATCCTTTCTCCTGAGAGAGAGAGAGAGAGATTAATGTCACAGTCGGGAAGAGGTTAATGTCACAATCAGGAAGAGAGAGAGAGGTTAATGTCACAGTCGGGAAGAGAGAGAGGTTAATGTCGAAGTTTCTTTATTTAAAAAACCCTTGAAATGAAAGTCTTAAAACTAAGTTATTACATATTATTATGTATCACTATTTTCCAGATTTTTACATGAAAAGATAATAAGAATCAAACCTAATGTTGTTTTTGTAGTAATGAATATTATGTCCCATCCTGAGCCAGCCCAGGTTTTTATTCTTAGCATTTCTCTCTGAATAGAACAGAGGTTTCATGCCTTCGTTGTAAAGACTGCCGGACTTTAACAAGTTAATAATTGTAAACTTGTAGGTAGGGCCAGCCTTTGTATTTGAAACTCTAAAGTAGAACCATTGCGTGTGCTTCATTGTGAAGTAGTCCCAGCGAAGCTCTAACTCGTACTCGTAGGGTCCGCTGAGTGAAGGATATAGAATTAGGCAGAGAAATGGATGATATCACAAAATCGCTTGGAAATTTGCGAAGACAAGGCAAGAAAAGGTGGTTGTGATTTGAAAATGAAGCTTGATTTAAAATGATAAATAAATTCCTCATCAAATTCAGAAGATGAATGTATAAAATTAGAGGTTAAATTATTCAATACTTACACTCGTCTGGCTCTGAAAAGATTGGCACACTCGAAACGGGACTCAAACCTCAGAACATCGTCATCGTAACAAGATAGGGGGAAGGGGCACGGTTCTAATGCAGCCGTGGGGCGAGATCTAGTGTACTGAGGGGGAGGGTGGGGTTTAGGTGACAGCAATATATAGCTCTTCAAATCACCGTGTGAAGTCATGTGATCGCTAATTTTTTACATATTGAAAGATGCAGTCTCAACATATAATGTTGATAAGGTTGTTAATGAATTAAATTCAATGAAGATAATACTTCTTAAATATTTACTTTTGTTTTGTTTTTCCAAGGTGAAGTGGGAGACGTGCATTTGTGTTCTTTGAGCTGTAAAATGGGGATAATTGTCTTTGAAATTCTTTGAGATGAAGTACAGTAAATCTGCGATTTACCGCAGAGTTTCAGGGATATCATGCTAATAAAAGGTAAAAGCGCGGTAAATCGGGGTTTTACTGAGTAAACGAATAAGTGACCAAATGAGTAAATGATGAGTGCGAGAGAGGCGGTGAGATTGAATATGCTTTGTTGATTTTTTGAGAAAAAAAATGAGATGAAACATCGTTAGTTGATGAGTTAACTTACAAAAGGGAACCGCATCAGAGGAAGATGGTACACAACCGTTCCTTCGTGTTTATCCGTGTCTGTTTTCTCTAGTAATCGTAAATCTGAGACAATTTGAATTAGTTCAAGTTCTAAAGTTGATGATCAGGAAATTAACCATGATTTGAGAGTGATGAAACATCCATGGAATTTATCATTATTTTCAATCGTTCCCTTCTCTATAATTCACTCTATTTTACTATTTTACTTCGTATCAAATGAAAAATTAAATATCTTGATAAAACTGACTAGCGCCGGAGGGACGTTTGTAGAACTCCTCGTTGAAAGGTGGAGGAGTGTTGTTGTGGGTGAGGTCTGGTTGTGGACACACTGTGTCGATCCCTACTGGCCACCGGGGCATCACCACGTCACGTGGTACACAGTACAGGGACCTAGGTTCCTTCAGCTTCGGTACCTGCAGGGAGGGACAGGGTCAGGGCGGCTGATACTTGAACCGATATTAGGTTTATCCTCTACTTTAAACACGCAACTTTTAGACATATCCTATGTAGGAAATGTCTAAAAGTTGCAAGATTTGATGATTATATCATTTAAATTTTCACTAAAATAATCATGAACCAATGATTAATGAGCTGATTGTACGTTGAGTTTAATTAAGAACATGTATTTCGGGAATTTTTAATGATCTGGACGTAACAGTGTACAGTATATAATAGTATGCTGCATGAGGATTGAGCAAAAGCAACACGTCAATAAGATATATTCAGATTTTAAAAGGGCCATATCAAATCAGATGAGAGCAATGAGCAAACCGCTAAAAGCATTTGTTTAGCGGCATTTGCCACCAAAGAGATTCGTTTAAAACCAACTTATTGGTGGTTGGAATAAAGTAGAATAGTCTCTGCTTGCAGCTGGTGAGTGTATTGACTATTGAGTAGATGGAAATCACGTATGCAATATAAACGACGAATTACCTAGGAGAAGAAAGATATTATTAATTGAGAGATATCAGTTTTAGGATCTTAACGACACAATCATTGTTAATTTTAACGGATTGGTTTAACTCTGGTTAAATCTGCCGCTCAAGAACAAACCTTGAGCAGATATGCAGCCAAGTTAACGGGTTGCCGGAGAAGCTCTGCCGCAAGAACCGTCATATTAGGGTTTTAGAAAGCAGTCTCCGATCAGTCACAGAAGATAAATCAAACGGAAAACAACAATTCGTTAAGTTTATCAGCTGAGTTAAGCAATTAACAAAAACTACGGAAAGTACATGCGAAAATAGCGTAAGAGCTTTATGAAAATGAGAAGCTGGGTTTTAAAATATGAAATATCTGCCCGGTTTTTTGGCACCGATTGCACTTGGAGTGATTGTACTTAGAGCTAGAGCTTACTTAGTGTCATGAAGCATGCTTCTTTCTGAAGAATAAACAATGAAGCTTATCATCTTTAATATAGATTAAAAGGAGTCTTGATAAACATTATATGTTAAACCCTATTAAACCCTATTAAACCCTGTTAAACCCTGCTAAACCCTGTTAAACCCTGTTAAACCCTGTTAAACCCTGTTAAACCCTGTTAAACCCTGTTAAACCCTGTTAAACCCTGTTAAACCCTGTTAAACCCTGTTAAACCCTGTTAAACCCTGTTAAACCCTGTTAAACCCTGTTAAACCCTGTTAAACCCTGTTAAACCCTGTTAAACCCTGTAAACAAGGTTAAACATTACAAACAGGTTGCATTCAATCCACCTCAAACTGTCTCCATCGGATAAAAGCCAGATACTCGTCGAACCAATTACGAATTAGTAACAACTAGAACTAGAAGTAGAAACTTAAAAGTGCACTTGAAATACGCATGATAACTGACATCGTACCAAGGCAGGAAGTATCAAGCTACCTGCTACAACTACTTCAGTGCTGCACACGAGGACTTACTGTGTTGGTGAGTACGTAGATATAGTGGTGACCTCTTCTTTTACTACTGTAGTTTGATCCCTTTATGTCAGTTGTATTGTCACTATTATATGACTCAGCCTGTAGCTCCACTGTCTTATTGAGCCCCTCCAGCAAGTCTACCATCTCCACAGCTCCGGAGAGTGCCTGGGTGAGTGCCGCATCCCAGGCGGACCCTCCGTGCAGGTCCTGCTCCTCTCCCGACACTTCTCCTTCTTGCAGGGCATCTTTGTAGATTGTAGACTTGTTTTTGGTTTTAATGTTCTCGTAGATTATTGCAGTAGCGGTGTTGCAACAATGCGGCAATGCCTCGGGTGACACCATGCAAAGCGGAATTTTTAACATCTTCGGAAAGACCGCTGTCTTCGATCTCTCTGCTCTCACTCCCTCGCAATCTCACAACTTCTATCTTCCAAACAAAACAAACAGAAAATAAGACTCTGCCGGGGGGTAGAGCTGATTTACCGAAACAAGTTTGAAATTGTTACAACATGTAAATTGCAAGCATGCTTTTAAATAACGTAGTATGCTTGCCACGTTTAAAACAGAGCGTATTATACGCACTGTGTTTCGAACAATACTCCCACACCGGGAGTTTGTTGTCTGATCTGTGCAACTAGACAGACGTGACGTCACAGTTCGCTTAGCGGACGTCACACCTCACTTAGGGTGACGTCACGCCTCACTTATCGTGACGTCACACCTCACTTAGCGTGATGTCACAGCTCACTTAACGTGACGTCACACCACGTGTAAATGACATCACTGCACAGGTGGTGCGCGACACTGGAAGTGCAAGCAGGAAGCCACCAGAGTGCTCCAGACCGGACGTCTCAAGAATGTGCTGGCCTATTGGAGGGCGAGCACGTGGAACTGAACATACCAGAGGAGGAGGAGGAGAGAGAGTTATTTTCTTAAAACACGGTACATGTTAGATATGTGCGCCATTGTCACCTGACAAACCACAAAAATTAGAGAGTCATAAACATTATGTTTTTGTCGTGACTTATGGTTAAATTATAGGAAAATAGATCCGAGGGTACAAAGAAAAGTCAGATGAATAATATTTTAGGGGTGCTTAAACTATAAGAGAGTACAATACAATACAATATGTGTTTTATTTGTTGTATCTTGTTGTTTGTAACTATAAGAGAGTACAACAGAGATAGTTAAGAGAGAAGACAATTCACAGGACAATGCAATCTCTTAACCTTTGAGGTGCTTCTTAGTTCTGAACTATTGCAAGGGTGTTGACCGAAGAATAACTTGACTATAAAGCTCAAGATCGATTATGACGCCATTACTGAAATGATAGCACCTTCAAAAACTGTACAATTAGTTAAGACAATAAAACATTGTCATAGAGAACATCAAAGTGGACGCAAACCTGTACCTTAGACGCATTGTAGACACGGTTTTCTCCAAAGTTGGTGACACTATACTCGCTACCGAGTATGGTATGTGCACTAGGGGGACGTTTGATAGCCCTGACAACACCCTCGTTGGTAGGCAGGGAGATACATCTCCGGACCTTTAGTTCTTGTCGGGTGCTACTGAGCCGGTCCCGGAACTCCGCTACCCCCACCACACGGTAGTCCTGCCCCCAAGGGTACGAGCTCCGCCGTTGAAACAGATGTTGAGCGGCGTGAATATCCGGCGGTGGTACCGGCTCAGGACCGGGCAGTTTCCAGGGTTTCAGAGGAATGTAGAAAAATCCGTTCATTTTGAAGAGTTTGGCGGCAAGATGAGAGCTAGATGGTTTTTTTTGCGGGATCGAGCTACAAGAAAGAGATTTGAACGAAGTGACTATATATTTAAACAGATGTTCCTGCACTAGAGTATTCAGAGTGACGTGTAGTGGCATATTGACAAGCAGAGAATGCTACCCGATACAACCTGGGATCTGAAACTATTGAAACCTGCACGTGCAGCTTTAATTAATACTGCTTGTTGCCTGGAATTAGGGCAGATCCTCCAGCCCCATTGGAGGTGACCTCTACCATACTGGAACTACGAGACATGAACACTCAGGTACACCTAAGAAGATTGGATGATGTTCAGGAGCATGTCAAATTGTCGCTTGCTGCAGAGCCAGTTGATTTAAACTCGATCTGGTACGTTTCATCTGCGCTTTAAAATAGATGGATTACTCTGCTGAGCTTGCAAGCAATCTTAAACAATCGTATGGTAAGATTGAACCTCTAAGTTTGCTGGGTGCAAGCTGACCAAGATATGAATTGTGATTTCGATGGCCGCTGGGTTTTATTAGAGTGATTAGACACAACTTTGATTTGCAGTTTGTACCCAAACATAATGAAGACACAATACACATACAACATACCCACGTACCACAATCCACATTATAGTCACAACAAGAATTAAGAGTGATAGAGAGACTGTCATATGATCCAGCATTGATCATTTCTGTTTTTTGATAATGTTTGGCACTCGATGACTCGATTTGCTGTTCAAGTGTTCAGTGTTCATTACTATAAAAAATATTTCACATTCTACAAGAATAGTAGTTCTAGTTCTGAACTCCAAAGTCCTAAACATTTCCCAGAGACCGCAGAGCGTCCAGACTATGCTACTGAATATTATAAATGCAAGCATTATGTGCATGTTTTATTTATTGAATATGCATTTAGATTTGCAATTCGATCAAGCTGATCGATCGATATTTGCTTCTAGTTCTCTTGTCGTTTGTCTTAATGATCCAACGTTCACATTAAATTATATGTTGCGACAGTCCGTCCACTGTCAAACTACCAGACTCCAAACTTCACAAGTCTTTGTTGAACAGACGAAATTGCTTTTCATTGGGTTAAATATTAAATATTGGTTCAAATATTCTTAGTTCTGTAAAACCAAATATATTTATTCGCAATCATTAGTAAAACTAATTGTAAATATATTGCATTTGGACACGAAGGGAAACACACAATGTAAGGCTATTCTTCGTAAATAATCTACGGGTATATGCCTCACAGGATGGCCAAAAAAAAAGGAAGGTCTCTCAAAATCACAAAACAAGCTAAGTTGACACTCATATTTTTAAGTTGACACTCATATTTTTGTTTCTTCCCGTGGGTTGATTTAATCTCATAACCATTTTTTCTTTGAGAAAAATTGGCCGGAAAATCTTCCTCCAAAAAAACATGCCTCACAGAATGGCCAAATCTGAATTTCTATAATTTTTTGATGGAGATACTTTTTAAATTTCTATCACCACACGTTGTTAGAAAACCTATTAAGGAATGGGGTAATAACCTAAAACTCACGAAAAAACTGAGCTGTGAAAAATTATTTCACAAAAAAAAATGCCTCACAAAATGGCCAAAAAAATGAAAACGAGAAAATTTTATTTTTCTAAAACCTTTGGCTCTTGTTTCAGGCATGCTGCTGGTATAAATATGCCTTGTTAAGGTAATCACTGGTAATCACTGGTAATCACTGGTAATCACTGGTAATCACCGGTAAAGTGGTAATTGTAAATGGAACTGTAAATGGAACTCAACTGGCCAGAAAGTCCACTCACAGGCCACAACCCGTTAGCGTATTTGCTGCAAATTGCCCACAGTGTCAACTCATCATGACTCATCGGGCTCATCTCAAAACGGGGATCCTCAGCAATCGGCGAGCAAATCGTTATACGATTCATAGGAGAAAACATGACACAAAATCTACAAATGTTAACAGATAACATATGCGTCGGAGCAAGACAGTTTTCTAGAAAAACGTTATCAAGCTTGTAGTTAATGATTGATCGCCTCAAACAAAGGCACACAAAGATTAAAATGCAAGTCAGGTGTACAATGGTCACGTGCGCGTACTGGTGGAGTTTAACTGGGGCTCCGGTATAGAGATTAGCATAAATCCCAAACAGCGGACTGTTGGTTTATAACATCTCAACTTCTCAAGAATAGAACTGTATCTCTGCGCTATGATCTAATGGAGATTGTAGAGTGTATAATTTAGATGAATGAGAGAATTTAGGATTTAAAATATAGGAGATAAACTAAAAACTTTGTGAGGGGTAACATTTTCGTATTTTTGGTTTCAACAAATTACGGAATGATAGTGGTGCACAATGCACATGTATTGAAATGACGACATATACTCAAAGCTAACAAGCAATGTAACAAGCTATATAATGGTATGTTAGATTACCTTTTGAGCCATCTCCTGTATTTGTTTCTTTATGTCGCTGATGTCGTATTTGCCGTTGTAAGTAGTGGACATTCTAGACATGATACAATGACACAGGAGGGGTCTTGCCAGGGGCACATCCACCATTGTAGTGGAGATCTAGTGGAGATCTAGTGGAGATCTACTACACAGCTAAAATAAACTGTCACAACGCGGGCCCAAAAAACAAGAACAATACATGGTTCAATAGACTAATACTAATCTAGACTTAGAGCTAGAGCAGTAGGCTCAGCAAGTTTAAAAGCGGCAAAGTAAGCAGCAAATCACTCTCTCACTGGATAAACTACTGATACAAGTTCTAACTTTAAACACTTTCAAAATGAGCATCACAAAAAATGAGGCTCTAACAAAAATAGATGATCGTGAAATGAGCTTCACATAAATAAAACCACTTGAACTGCAGCAAGCTGAGTCAGAGGTTCGCTGTCCCTAGTGGCCAGCTATAACATGCGTTGTTTTAACGAAGTAACAATAACAACAACAGATGTTGCCTTGACTGGCAACAAATGTCCACCTCCGATAGTGAAATTAGACCGCCACAAGACAAAACACGACAGTGTGAGATAAGACTTAAGAAGTTAAGAGGGCGGCTGAAGAAACCCCGCGACCATTAAACCGCATATACAATGTAGCTCATGTAGTGGCATGTGGGACTGATGACTCTCATATATCTGGAGAGAGAGAGAGAGTGAGAGACAAAGGTTGTGAGATGAAGTTGGGAATTGCATGTTAAACACCGGGGAGGTCCGAGAGAGTCTCTGATCGGTAATTAATTAGAAATGAGACGTTGGTGTACCGGTCTCCCACGGCATATGGGATTATGTTCTTTTGACGCAAGTGTCAGGAGTTTGACGCGTGCTAAATAAAATACGTTATACTTCATTGGTATTACTTATCCAAGTGTAATTTGAGGGCTAGTGGTTGATCGGTGGGGATTTTAAACATAGTTGTTACTGATCGACTAACAAAAACCACTGCTCAAAAGCACTGTTTAAAACAAGTGTGAGAACGTGCACTCTTTGACCACCATTGATCTTAGCACGTGTTGTTGTATTAAACTGAACTGGTAGTTGTTAGTAGAAATAGATGGTAGAAGAACTAACCCTCTTTCCGTCCTGCATTCCAAATACAAGCTGTGTTGTTCGAGAGTTGACATCCTTTACTGAAATTATACTGAATTTAGTCAAACCTCGCTGGTAGGATATTTTGAGAATATAATAGTTCTACTGATGATTTCATATTATTGTTTTTCAAGAAACACATTGTCCAGCTAGTGGTGACTTGTTTAAAACTCACGTGAAATGGTGGAAGATCTGCGGCGGGTTGGTATTTCCTTCTCGCTGGTGGAATCCTCGTGCTCCCATAACCTCGTCTTCTCATAGCCCCACTCGTGCGCTCCGCTTAGTGCTAACGAATCTAAAGTGTAAAAACTATATTAGTATTTGGTAGAGATATTATCACTAATTATATATACTAGCAGGAACCCGTATAACCCTAAAATGGTGTCAAGACTCAAGAGACTAAAATAATTATTACTTATTTAATTCGCGTTTTTGACAGCACTTGGGGGTCCAAATTTTGGGCTCTAAAATTCGAATTCCTTGGCCAATTTTTTATTTTTTCATGCTGATTTGAAGGCCATTAAAGCATTTGACCCAGTCAAAAAAGTTTCAGTTGTATATCTTTTACGGTTTTTGCGGAAAGTCGCCGAGAACTACAAAACTAGCATACATGGGTTGTTAAGGTAGAACGCAGTTCTTGGAACTCTGTATTACTCTATAACATGAGATCAAAGAGCGACGCCATTTGTAGTGTTGTTGTTATTAATTTTAAACTAATATATTACTCTATATAATATAATATATTACTTTATTTAAAGTTATTAAGTTAACTCCTACACGAAACTATAACTCTTACCGTAAAACATCAAAATCGGAGAAATCTAGACTGCGATTTACGAACTATTAAAAACTTGCGGCATCACTTTAGATTAAAAACTTGGCCACTATGTACAGTGATTGTACACCGACTTGAATAATATGTAAAACTTGAAGATCCGTCGAAGAGTCGAGAATAAAATAAACTCTAAAAACTAGGTGGAACTGGCAACCAAGTGATCAGTGTTAATAACTCCACAACGGTTTGAGAACTTTCATTCGAGTAGGGTGTGGCACCCTCGTGACGCTTTTTAAAATTTTCTGATATCTTGATCGTTTTTATGCTATTGGCTTGTTCTTGATCCCAAAGATATCATGTGATGCTGAGCCTGGATAACCAACCATATTATTTGCTTGAAAACTTCTCATAAGTTCTAACAGAGCTGCTGACTCGTTAGCAGCAGTTAATGAGGTGAATAATCTCACGAACTGACTAGACCCTGCAGCTGTGACATTGTTCACAGGATCGAGTAAGAGCCTTAAAATTTGGGCAGCTCCATAAACAGAAAAATGAATAGGCCCTAAACAAAGTTTAGCCCCAAAATTAAAATTTTGAACACAGACTGACAGACAGTACTTCTTGATTCTTGAAACGTTTTGACCCCTTAATCTAAACATGTAATAAAGATCGTGTCTGCATCTTTTTGGTCAGTTATAATTTCTACCAGTCGAGGAGAGAGAGGGTAGCTTAACTACCGACGGAGTTGGAAGTGTTAAACATTATTTAAGTTATTTCTTTTTAATTTTCGGTATTTCAGCAAAATTATAATTCGTGACCTGGTTATTCAAACGGTTGGTGTAGACGTTAGTTTTCTCTAGACTCTATTACAGTATGAGTTTATAAACTATAAATAGTATTGTGTTGTAGCGAATGGGTGGGGTTTATGTGGTACATTGCATATATTCTTTTAACCACTCTTTGGAAAGTAAGATAAAGCTTTCATCTTCGAGTGGTTATGGATCAGTACACTCAATGTTCAAATGTTGGCGGCATCTAGCTTAGCACAACTGCCAATCATTAGCCATGTTATTGTGTTTATAGTGTATACCCCGGTACGTTTTACCTACTGACAACCTGACTAGCAGTAGTATCCTGACTACTGATATATATTATATTAGATATTAATATATCTGGTAAACATTACAACCGGACCATCAAACTTACCCGCTACGAGTTTATTATCATCACATTGACCATCTCGATTAGATTTGTATGTTAGATTTTAGAGTAAACGATTGGAAGTTACTATACCAGTCAGGATAAAGTATAGGTTAATAGTCAGAACTTCAGAAGCTAGAGTACTCAAGAAGAATACTGTGTAAACGAAACCTCCTATTACTACTGTATTGCATTATCATTTTACGTACTATGACGATAAGGCCCAAATGGAGCGAGGGCCTGTCAGGAGTCGGATACACTGTGATTTATAGACCCTAATTCAACATCCAATTTATCCACGAGCTCATGTTTATTGTTTATACGAATTTCAGAAATAAGCACGTTGTACGGTCCCAAGAAGCAGTGATTTACCTTTGATGCTGAAGGAATAAGAAGGCTTGATACTGGTGATTGCTGAGGCTGGAATGGCTGGGAGACGGACAAGTCCTCCGTTCAGGGACATCAACCTGTGAAACCTCTCTAAAACAAGATACAAGGTACAAGATACAAGGTACAAGATACAAGGTACAAGATACAAGGTACAAGGTACAAGATACTGGACAATATCTGATGATCGAAGTCCTTGTTACAGAATACAGGACGATCACTAATCAGCCATGAGTAGACTGCGAACCAAACATATTTGGGAGAAGATATTTAGAATAAAAAACAATTCTCCGAAAATGAGCACTGATAAATTGCACAAATGAAGATGTATCGTACGTTCCCGAACAGTTTTACTATAAAGTAACACTCCTACGAACTGAGCTTTTAGACCTAGTGGTTAGTAAATCACAGGATAACAAAAAACATGCGGTAACGAATCCTTTAAAATATCAGTTTATTCTTTTAACTTGTCCCAACTAATAATCGCGTAGAAAGCATGCAAAAATAATTTTCCAAAAACCACAAATTTTTCCATGATTTGCATTCCACAGTAACTGGCCAGCTCATGTAAATATCTATCAGAGAACGGAACAAATGAACCAGGATTTAAACAGAGTGTCTCCTAAAATCCGCCTGAACCGGACAAGCATTGTTAAATAGACCGCTAGTAAGTTGCAGAGAGCGCTGTTAAAAGGTGGAGAAAACAACAACTCGATAAAGAGAACGTAGAATATTAGCAAGCAGCGCTCTAACTCACTGCATTCCAGCTTTGTGCTTGTCACCTGACTAAAACAAGTGACAACTACAAGAACCAGACCAGCACTGTACTGCTGAGCTACTTTCTTTAAACAAACTGGCGGACAATGGCCGGCCAGGGCGCGTACAAAGCGGATATATTACTAAAACTGTTGTAATGATCAGTGGAGCAATTATACAGAGAAAGAGTATTTAGTCTAGTTGTATAATAGCTGTGAGTGTTGGCTAACTGAATAACAGTGTTATTGATGGTCCTCACTCCTCCTGCTTGATGTTAGTGCTCAGTTCCCCTGTTTACAAGCACATAAACTAGATGAGCTAACTTGAATCATAACGTCACCAGCCGATTTATATGCAGATAACATGTATACTTTTCAGCGTCATGTACTTCAGTTGGTAATTGAGTAATTGTGAGATTGAGGCGCAACTTAACCGTGTTTACTAAGCGAACTATACTGGTTAGACCAGGTCCATAAGTGTAGCCATTAACATAAAATGGTCGTATATCATACATTGTATGTATTATGATGTTCTGAAACGATTTCATGTAACCCGGTGCAGTTTTAATGCTCTTTTGGTCTGAATCTAACCCGGTGCAGTTTTAATGCTCTTTTGGTCTGAATCTAACCCGGTGCAGTTTTAATGCTCTTTTGGTCTGAATCTAACCCGGTGCAGTTTTAATGCTCTTTTGGTCTGAATCTAACCCGGTGCAGTTTTAATGCTCTTTTGGTCTGAATCTAACCCGGTGCAGTTTTAATGCTCTTTTGGTCTGAATCTAACCCGGTGTAGTTTTAATGCTCTTTTGGTCTGAATCTAACCCGGTGTAGTTTTAATGCTCTTTTGGTCTGAATCTAACCCGGTGCAGTTTTAATGCTCTTTTGGTCTGAATCTAACCCGGTGCAGTTTTAATGCTCTCTTGGTCTGAATCTAACCCGGTGCAGTTTTAATGCTCTCTTGGTCTGAATCTAACCCGGTGCAGTTTTAATGCTCTCTTGGTCTGAATCTAACCCGGTGCAGTTTTAATGCTCTCTTGGTCTGAATCTAACCCGGTGCAGTTTTAATGCTCTCTTGGTCTGAATCTAACCCGGTGCAGTTTTAATGCTCTTTTGGTCTGAATCTAACCCGGTGCAGTTTTAATGCTCTTTTGGTCTGAATCTAACCCGGTGCAGTTTTAATGCTCTTTTGGTCTGAATCTAACCCGGTGTAGTTTTAATGCTCTTTTGGTCTGAATCTAACCCGGTGCAGTTTTAATGCTCTTTTGGTCTGAATCTAACCCGGTGCAGTTTTAATGCTCTTTTGGTCTGAATCTAACCCGGTGTAGTTTTAATGCTCTTTTGGTCTGAATCTAACCCGGTGCAGTTTTAATGCTCTTTTGGTCTGAATCTAACCCGGTGCAGTTTTAATGC